CACTCAGAAACCTCGCTTTCCCTCCATTGACTGGACTCCACATTATCGTCCACCTTGGTTGTGGTTTTTCTTCCCCTCCCGCCGACTTGAACACAGAACAGTGACGTCTGTCGTGTATTAATGACGTGAAGGTCGGATAAATGGCCGTTCAGACAGAAGTCACATGGCAAAAGATATGGCAGATACCTATCAGATTTAGGACCACATATCCAAGTGGCCTGGGTCGCATTTGAAAGAATCAGATCTGTGTTGTTCAGACTGTCATGAAAAGATCAGATACAGGTCGCATAGGGCAAAAAAAAATCTGCTGTCTGAATGTAGCATCTCTCCTTTGTCCTTTCACCTTCCTGTTTACCTTATTTAGCTTGTGTTCCCCTCATTTGTCCTCCAGTCTGTTTATCCTTGTGTCTCTATGTTGTCTTCAAAACTTTGTCTTGCTGTGTGTTTGCTCTCTTTTCTTTTGGATTCAGTGGACTGAACTTCTTGTTTTCTCTGACTGGACTGTCTTTGGTTGTGCCTCCCTGAAATCTGCAGCGCTGTGTGTTGTCCACCTCCCTAAATTTTTAAGACATGCCCGGACTGCATGTGTACATTTTAGGTTATTCCTTCTGAACTAAATGCAAGAGCTCAGTCGTGTCTGCTTGTTTTCTGGTCAGCTACTGCGTTGCATTGTAACACCAAGAAGTTAAAACTGAGCATAAGACAGATTCTTGGGCGACTGTCAGGTTTTACAATCCTTTTTTGTACGTCACTAAATTGCGCTACAGTACCACACTAATTTCTATGAGTTTTTCTTCTCTCTGTCTCGTTAAACCGTCATTTGTGCATTCTCCACTGGAGTGAACAGAATCACTAAAAACGACTTGAATCTTTAATTGTTCGGCCTGTGAACTGAGATGACTCAGGGCTCATTACTTAATTACAGCTCGAATTAAGGTTCAGATCAATTGTTCCAGTCACAAGCCGCTGTAGCAATAAAAAAAAAAAGACTTAAAGTCACTCATAGACATATGAATGTGTAGATCTATTAATCTGTTAATTAATTCCCAGCCTCTTTCTCCCCAAACCCGTCCACTACTTGCTGCAAATCGAGCACACCAGCTCACCTATGACTCTGCTCAATCGCTGTAATTCAGGCAAACATGGTCCAACTGTTTCTAAAGAAGAATATCGATTCAGAAAGTCACACCCTGCAAGGTGGCAGGATTAGTTCTTTAGTTATGTTACGTTCGAAACCCCAGAAGTCTGAATGTGTGTTTTTGAAACTCTCACCATTACACTGCAGCTTCAAGGTGGAGCTACTCAGCCATGGTGTCGGCTGATCGCTCATGACATATAAGAAACAACAATTTAAACATAAAACTTGATTTTCTCTAGAGGTGGTCTTCAATTGTAATATGCTTGATTTCTAATTTGTACAGTTGTAACTTTGGTACTTTGGATCTACCCTTGTTGGGATCCTTCCTTCGACCTCGTGTTCTCTCATTTACGTCCCTCTGTTTTTATTTCTTGTTGTTTCCAATGCGTGTTCTCTCTTTGCTTGGATGTGGCTCCTCTGAACTTGAATCAACCTCCACACCTGCTGCTCATATATACCTCAGATTTGGGGTTTCTTTTTTGCCTTTATTGGACAGGACAGTCGAGAGAGACGACAGGAAAGTAGGGGAGAAGAACGGGGGAAGGACTTGCAGGACAGGGCCATGAATCCGCTGCGTCCCCCTGTACATGGGTCACCAGCTCAACCAGTCGAGCTACCACGGCACCCATATATACCTCAGTTTTACTCTCTATTGCCATATTGTCCCATTAGCCAAGTGCTACAGAGGCTACAACCACTACCAGTTTCTTTCTAATCTTGTGCTCTCGCTCGTCTCTTCAGCCCACTTGACCATCCTTCTGTCTTTAGTCTCACCACCCTTCAGCCTCAGCTCCGTCCACCTCGCCAGCTTCTTCTCACAGGCCTGCCTGCCTGCCTGCCTGCCTGGCTTCTTTGCTCAGCCCAGCTCTGTTCTGCAAACTCATCCAGCTCAGCCCAGCCAGCCCCCGGCAGCACCCCGCTCTCCAGCTGCACCCCAACTCCACTCTCCCCAAGCCCTCCACACTCACTTCATTTGAATAAAGCAGTTCAAAGTACTGACTGTCTGTGTCCAATCTCTGCTTTTGAGTCCGCCCTCATTCACTGTAACACCTGAGGACTTGAGACTTCTCCTGAACAAGTGCAGCGGAGTGGAAAAGTACTTACAGACTGTGCGGTCTTGATGGCCACAAACCTGTGGTGGCCCTCCTTCCCGCAGACATAGCCGAAGGCCCGGTGGTCCCTGGTGTCCTTGGCGATGTAGCTGATCTCGTGGACCGAGTGGTGATGAAGGAGCACCTAGACGGCAGAAAGACGTCATGAATCAACAGCGGCCTCATAAATCAGGTGAAGCAAAGCGACGCCGCGACGACCGAATGCCGTCTTCTTTCTCTTTAAGCTGCAAAATGCAAAACACGATCTTGTTTGATTTGAAATTCTGCCTTCTTTTTTAAAAAAATGAGGCGCAGCGCTGTACACTGCGCTGGCAGACAAAGTAGGTCAAACCTAGTTTAAACATCTTTTGCATATTGTTGAACCAAATGCAACCAACCAACACAGAGTGAGCCTGAAAGTGTCTGACAGAGGGAAGGAACATTCAAGCATCTTCAAATCTCTTATCACAGCCCTCTGTGGATACTATAGCGACTATAGAACCGCATAGTCTGTCACTGTGCGCATCGTCCGGCTGCATGACGTTTGCTTTGTGCTGCCGAGATGCGGCGGTTTTTCAGCGAGAAACGGCAGATTAATGAGCAAGAGATGTTCCCATTTTCAAAATGTACTTTATGTTGCAGCCAAAGTGACAGACAACACACCCATATATACACACAGAGTAATTCAGCTGTCATTTCGGCACACCCACCTGCCGCTCCTCTATTAGCAGAGATAAGCCTAAGCGCTGGGGAGGAGCTTTCATTTGAATATTAGCCGTTATTCAGCCGGGAGAGCCGCTAGTAACGCCTCAGATTAATGTAAAATACAAAACTAATATGACTAGTGCACTCGATTCAACGGAGAATCATGTCAGCTTTACATAAAGTATTTCCATCTAAACGCTTGCTGACACAGCCTGCGCCGGAATGATCCCCGTTTCCACCTAAATAACTCGAGAGGGATATTAAGTGAGGAGTGTTATTTACTGCCAGTAATCAGTAAATAAAATGAAGAGCATTAGGGGGCATGATTTCCAAAACAACAAATGAGCTTGTCAAAAGCTGGTGAGCTGCTAGGTCGTGGCGGGAGGCTTAATGTTCTTTTTCATTACAGGCAAAAAAAAAAAAAAAAAAAAAAAAAAAGACGTCACCACCAGTTGTACTGAAAAGAGATATTATCAAAGAAGGTTTTTTTTTTTGGGGGGCGGGCAGGATATACCGTGGGTGGTCGGGTGGGGGTCGGCAGCCACGGGACAAACGCTGTTGCATAATTATCAGTTTAGCACTAACGACAGCTGAGGTGGAGCCGCGGTGTAATTAGCATTAGCGGCAATGATCATTAAGGGGTGGAACTGAGTGCTAATTATCGGTTAGCGCTGATGAGCAGAGTGGGCCTATCTAGCCAACACTACGCCGCAGGACGGGGGAGAGCCGAGCCCCTCGATCATCCTGTAATGGAACAGCAGGCCTTTGAGTCCGCCAGGGGGATGGAAGCCAGGATGGAGGCGGCAACAGCCCGTCTCATAACATCACCATAACATTGCTCACTGCGCTATCATTAGCAGACAGACAGGGCCTGAGTGATCTTAAGTAGGTCCTGCAGCATACCCCTAATCGCACTCGGGTATATGTTAAAATACTTGACTCTGGGTCATATATCAAATGCAAGACCTGCAATTTAATGCTGTCAGGTTTAATTTTCATGAGCTAAAGGGCAAACTGTCCCGTGGAAAGCATGCTATTGCTTGATTTGCATTAATATTTGGAGAAAATGCGCGGCGAGAGAACACGTGCAGGTAGCTCAGCTGCACTAATATGCCAACTGTGCCAGTCAGGCTTCTAAGATGGCGGCCCCAGCAGCCGCTGTGAACTGAGCCGTGCAAGCGTCTGCCCTCTGGATGTCCTATACTCTGGGTTCACGGTACAGTAGCTGGCAGAGGCCTCGCAGTGCGGCAGGCCCCCCGCTCGCTGACACACTACTCACCCCTGATCTTTCACAGTAAATCTTGATCCCGCCGAACGAGACCGTCAAGAAGACTCGCTGCTTGTGCTCCCCTTTGGAACGTGCCGAGGAAGCCATTCCCTGCAAAGAGATTAAAGGAAACGACATGAGGAGATGAAAGGATATGAGCTCAGCGTGAAAGACAGCGAGCCTCCTTGCGACTCAGGTGAGTGTGCAGTAGGGGGGGAGGTTGTGGGGGTGAGAGAGATTGGGGACGGGATTGAGGGGGAAAGATTGGGGGTAGGGTGACAGGAGTTACATAAGGTGTGATAGGACAGAATGTTCTTTTCATGTGCCTTTTCTTGAAGCTTCACTCTCAGAGGAATTCACACGTTGTGCAGAGACTTATTATTATTGCCGCTATTTTTTTTTCTTCTCTCTCTCCCTCTCTTTTCTTGAAGTAGGTCTACCGCACTTCAACGTGACAATACACAAGTTCTAGCTAACAACAATAAGGTGAGACTTGCTGACAGAATGGATTGCGCTGCTGACCGACCAGCTTGCTCCGGCAATTTCACATAGTGCTGACTGAACAACCGGTCCAAGCCTTTGAAGTGCGGTTTTTTTTTCCCATGGATCTCAGCACCTCCTCTTTTTTTCCTTATATTCTCAACTCTGATAAAGAAAACAATTAAAATTTCCACCGTGTTCCATTTGATGCGACCTGTGTGCTTGACATGTCTTTCAAAGAACAACGCCTGAGAGGAAAAAGAAGAAGGGGAAAGATAAGAGAAGAAAGACTTGCTTTCTGTGCTGAATATGTCTGACAAAACTGCAGGCCCTGATTCTGATAACAAGTGGTCGACCTCCTCTGCGCTTCAGACCGCTTTCCCCTGAGAGGTTTTTTTCCTTTAAAGCCTGGCTAATATTTAAAAACTCCGGCCACAGTGAATTGCAATAATCACCATCAAGCTGGAGATGTTCAAGGAAAAAAAAAAAAATCCACCCGCCGTTACATACATAAATATATTCATATGGGAGAAAATGGGGAGCTGAAGGAGTAACAACGGAGGGGAAAAGTAATGAGAGAAGGATAAAGAGCAGGACAAGCAACAGGGATAAGGAAGAGATGAAGTGAGTGAGAAAGAGGCGGGCGAGCGGGCGAGTCGATGGATGTTGTCAATCAGCCATCGGCTTCTCCATTTGGTGGATTAGTCCTCATGGCAGCGAGCGGCAGCTCAATAGAGACCCGTCCCCTCCTCTATCCCCTGTCCAGATAATAGCAGGTCTATATCGACTGCTCCATTGACTGTAAGTGGCTGGAAGCTGGTGACTACTGGAGTCATATGGAGGGCATTGCTGAAATGTCAGATCAAGGCAGCGAAAAAGTTGTTTTATTGGACTTATGACTGGGAATGGATATGGGTGATGAGAGGCTTTGCCTTCTGGCGATACTGCTTTTGCTGTGGGGCTTCCCACACATTTAAGCTCCAGGAAAGTCAGCGAGAAGATACTTAAAAAGCCACGCATATACGTCGTCTTTCGGAGGCGGATTTATCCCACGGCCACCTACTGCAGCGATGCCTCTGTGCTGCTTTTCTTTTCCTCCCGACAAAGAGTGATGGGGGAGGTTTTTCATCGCCTTTAAACGCAGACAAAAAAAAAGGATACAGAAGCGGAATCATGCTATATCCGAGTAATTCGTTATTTATATTGACTCCTCTTGTACTGGGCAGGATTGCAACAACACATCATCAGTAGGGTAAAACTAACCTGTCTCACAACAGTCTAAACCCAGCTCACATTCCCTGTTAGTGGGTGAACAATCCAACGCTTGGTGACTTCTGCTTCACAATGACAGGAAGAGCCGACATCCAAGGATCAAAAAGCGACGTCGCGATGAAACCAGTTATCCCTGTGGTGACTTTTCTGACACCTCCTGCTTAAAACCCCAAAAAGTCAGAAAGATCGACCAAACTCTGTCCACCAGTATTTTTCTAAATTTTTCGATTCCCATTTCATTTGATTCTTCCTGACAGTAGCCCTAATATTTCTTAGCTTGAACACGCTTTCTAAAAATGTCACGACCACATAGGCATACATTAGAGCGCCCAGTTTATACTCAGTCTGAGGCTCATTTGAAACACTTAGTTGTTGCAGTTGTTGCCAAAAAACCAGCATCATAGCGGCTGAATTTGAATAAAGCTGGCCCCAAAAGTAGAGGAGAACCGATTTAAGCATCTGATTAAAAAAGAGCGTAGTGTTTGGCCTCCTCTTGCCATTAGTGCTGCACCTGACAGAATTTTAAGTGGTGCACCGTGGGGGTAGTAATTAACTTCTACCCCCGATATTTTCTATACAGTGAACCTTCTGCTTTTTAATCAAAGAACCAGATATTTTCGAATGCAGCTGCTAACTGAACCAAGGCAGTGGCATCCAAGCGGTACAAGAACTTCAGCTGTGCGCCAACTAATATGCGTGACGGCAAAAACAGTCACTATCAAAGTCCTGCTGGTTGCTGCTTTCACACAGAGATCGTGTTATAACTCCACTAAGAAGACGCCCTCACTATGGTGCCGCAGCGTTCCTTTGCTCTGAACCAAACATGCCAATCCGGTGTATGCGTTCATGTAGCGGCTGGCGTTCCTGAATCAGAGGTGTGAAGCGTAATGGTACATGTCGACAGGATCCTTCATTTCCATGCTTTTCCATTGATTATCTATGCGAGCAGCCATGCAGTGCGTTCTGGTGGGAGTGAAAATGTTGACTGTGTCCCACCAGGTACAGCAAGTGTTTGTGCAGTTGTAGGAGAGTGTAAGCAGTATGTTTTCTTTTGTTGCCTAAGGGCAGACCCAGCAAGTGCCCAAGGCTGGGAAACATTGGACCCCTTACATCCAAAAACATCCCTGTAGACTAGGGACTGACCGATATGTTTTTTCAGAACTGATGCCAGTAGCAATTATTCAGTTCAATTCCAATTCATTTCTAATAATATAGCATAATTCACAACATATTCCACCTCATAGCACATAACATAGTGAGGTGAAGAAATTACGAATTGGAACAGAAACCCCAACAATCCAAAGTTGCCGTTGGACTCCATCTGCGGTCGGCAACGGTGGGAAGAAACTATTGGTATTCAAGAAAGACCAATAGTCTATATTTGGAACTGATATACATTAAGTGTTATTTATTTACGGCATCTGATAGCAGGGAACCTGTCATACAGTCTTTGCAGGTTGTATGTCTGCCAGAGAGGCGTGCCTATCAGTTGGAGCAGATTGCTAAAGTGAATCCTACTTTAGGAAGATGTTACGCTACTCCAGATAGCATTAGCCACAGCTAACCTCGTAGGGATAGCCTTAGCATAACACCATCAGCAAAATACGCTTTTGCTGCACTGACAGCAACAAGTGATTTATTCAGAAAACTGGGCATTCTTGCGTCATAATGTAAAATTCCTGACAACTTTAACCGTTTCCGCTGCCTTACCTTCAGAACACAGCTCCACTAATTAACCAATATAATGAAATGTACTGATGCACTCATCTGTCCCTGTCTCTGAACAGCAGCTTTTAGAGCTGATTGGTTGTTACTCGTGACATAGTGCTGAGACCACAGTGACTAAACAGAGAGCTGCATCAAACTGGTGCATCAAACTGGTGCATTTAATTCTTTTACTGGCTATCCGCTCATAAAAATAACAATCCTGATTATCGGAAGAATATCGACGGCGCTAATCGGCCGATCCCTCCACTGTCCCATAACCCAACAGCATTGGCGTCCGGCGGCCCGCCACGCCGGCTCTCCCTTTCAAACAAAACATCGATTCAGCTGCCAGCTTAAAGGGGCAACAACAAAACCCCCTCATTCTGTCTTACACAGAAAACGTTGAGGTGGAATAAAGGCTCAGCAGCCTTAAACACGCTGCGTGAAAGGGGCTCGTAACTGCCACACTGGCTGTTTACGACGCACCCAGTGGTCCTGGATGCTAATGTTAACCGCCGTGTTCGGCTCTAATCATGGATTTACCTGTGGTGACTCCTCATTCGTAAAGTTAAAAACCAAGCAGGTAAACAAAGGTAAAAGAAAATGGAGGAGTAACTACCTCTATACAGAGTTGTTGTTTTCCTTATTTCCATGACATTTACATGAACCCTCCGTTGCTGACTTTTTGTCTGGGGCATGTCGCTTCATTCTTCTTAGCGTGATGTTGATACCATGAGTTTGAGTCGGCAAGAAACATCAAAAAACTCAAACAGAGACGGTATTTTCAATCAATCTTTGGAGCTAGATGTGTAGCCTCAGTCACTAAGACGAAAGGTGATTTAACAGCATTTTAGTTGCACACTTACTGTAAGTTTAAGAATACTCAGCTCTTTCACTCCCTAGTATTCAGACTTTTTTTATTTTTTCCCTCCCTGACTTTGTTTCTTACTGTGGGGCTTAATTTGACCTAATTTACTCGCAACATTCTGTAAAGAACGTTGGCTTAAATATTATCTGGGTCATGTTATCGCAGTTTGCATACGTGCCACAAGTACAACATCGCGGACTTTGTTGTAAAAATAACAAGCCGTGAGTGACACGAGAAAACATACAGGAGACAGAGGCGCGATGGAGGGGGCCAGGGAGCTGCTCTTCCTCTAGTCAGATGCTAAAAAGTGATTTTTTTTTTTTTTTACTTAAGTGATATACTGCTTTAAGCCGCTCAGAATAGGAAGCCAGTTTGCCTCCGAGGTAAAGAATAAAAAAAAAAAATAGCTGTATGAATAAATGCAGAGAGCTTTGAGCAATACTAAAAATAAAGCAGCCTATTAGAGGGAAAAGAAAGTACAAAGCCGCTACCATTTTGCACACAATGTAAAAAAGAAAACCTTACAGTATAGCAGATTTCTACAGAACAAAGAGTGATGGAATAATATGGCTGGACCTTCGTTTGTTCCATCTGGTCAGCTCGGTGAGTCACACACAGGAGAGGACAGCTCCCATGATTCATTCAACAGACAATACAGTCATGCCCGAGCATGCCTTTTCCGAATCTGACCGAGATGAGCGAAGAAGCTCAATGATGTCCCCACACACACATAAAGAAGTCTGCACCTTCAGCTTCATCATGGAGTCCTGGCACAGCTTGTCCCCACGCGCTGCTGTCACCTCATCAATCCCGATCAGCTTGGCCTTGTAGCGCACGCCATCTCCGCGGAAACGCTTAATAAGCCCCGCCTCGCTGCGGTCCTGACCTGCGGCGGAAGAGAGAAAAAAAAAAAAGAGGACGAGAAATGAGGAAGAGAATAGGAAAGAGAAAGGGTGATTACAGGAAACAAGGGGATGTGTGAGCTCAACTGAATCCTACAACTTTGCCCTGCTGGAGGTACAGAGGCTACTATGTGTGTGTGAATGTGTGTGTGTGTGTGCATGAGTTTGCCGCTATAAATATTTATGGAATAGGAAATGCAGAATGAATGGCAAATTAGCAGCGGCGAGCAAAGATTGAAAGAAAATTGAACTTGAAATTGGAAATGAAGTCGTATGAAGGCAGCGGGCCGGATGAGAAAACAACGGGAACGCTAAAAACGCTCCACGCTGTTAGCTTTAATGGCGCATTGTGGCGGGGATTCACACGCAAAAATAAAGGCTAGGATGGGAGGTTCCGAGGTGGCGCGACGAAGGGGGGTGCTCCCTCCCGCGTCGCACCCATGCCCCGCAGTTCCCATGGGTGCTATTGGTGGCGACAAACCAGCTTGAATGGCCGCTATTGAGGGGAATCATCTCGGTCCAGCGCTCATCCACAATCCTCCCGAGCCCTCCCTGCGTGATGGATGTTGGGTGGTGGCAGGAAGGTTGGTGGGATGATGATGGTGGTGTGGTGGGGGGTTCACAAGTGTGTGCCTGGATGGCCTCAGGCTTTATACTGTCAGTCCCTCCCCTCCCTGTTGCTGATTATTCCGTCTCTGCAGCTAGCCCTGACATCTCCTTGACACTGACACCTTTCTCATTTTGTCTCCGCGCTGTCTGCCGTCCGCACCGCTTTGATTATGAGGGTGCGAGCCTCGAGCGCTATCTGCAGCGCATAAAACCGTCCCCTCGTAACCTGCGAGAGTTAAAACACCGACTCCCCCCCCACCACCACCCACCTCCCCTGCATTTGCACAAAGAGATAGCAGGATTTCAAATCAAGGTCACCAGCACCTTGGAGAATTTAACAGTTTTTCAGGCCCCTTCCTCACTCCGAATCTAGGTCACGAGACCGCAGACGACATCAGTTAGGAGCACGTCTAAGTGGCTGGCTAAGCTGCGCGCGAGACGAAGACAAGGTGTAACATCCCTAACGGAGACTGTTAGGCTGCACTCCAACACCGCATTACGCCAAAAATGAGCTTATTCCACCATGAAACAAACGGCATTCCCGTCCCCGCTACCATCTAACCAAATTTCCTGCAATTTCCGAGGGTAAAATCAAAAGGAAAAATTAGAAGGAAAAAAAAAAAAAAAAAGGAGCAAATTAAAGGGCTTGTGCAAATGGAGAAGAAACGTCTTAGTTCAAATGCAAGTGCTTGTCTTGGATATGCACACCCTCTCACTAATTCATGAGGGCACAATTCTCTAACGGGGGGGGGAAGGGAAGGGAAGGCTTGACGATGCTAAAGTCATTAAAGTCTCTAAGCAAGTGAATGTCAAATCTGGGCCTAATTCAGACTTGTTTCCCTGCCAGGGGATAATGAGTCTTATATACAGCCACCGTGCACCTCTGAACATGAACCAGGCTGGCTGGCGTGCACACAGCAGCCACGAGCAGACACGGACGCCCAGACTTAGACGACAAACTCCCCGAAAAGACGAACCGTAGTCACGCTCTTGTTGCTTCTCGAGCCCAGCAGGGCAGCGAGGGTGGACTTCTATGATAATTTTTGTTGTTGTTCCTGCTTCAAACCACCCCTCACACCGTGACTGCAGTCTATTCACGCAGCATTATGTATTCCACCCTGATTTTAATGACTCATACACTCTGTAATGTAATGTAAAATGCATGCTGCTCCAGTTGCATTTTAAACACAATCGGTCCAATTCAGCGCAATGCTCTCAGATGAGCTCTAACCAGATGTTCTGTGCCATTTGTTTCTTTACATACAGCATGCCTTCCCCCCCCACTAATAACACTTCAGGAGAGATTTAGAGGTTTATGCACAGATCCTCAAAAAAAGTAGGCCTTGCATACCGAATGAGAGAGCCTTGACTCAGTGGCATAACTCGTACGCTACGTGCTCTGGGTTCAGATGGAGATGAGCAAGTGTGCTGTATTTGAAAACTAAAGAGCTGTGGGGCATGCTGTTTCATGTTGTTACACACTGTAAGAAAGGAGCAGCGAGAAGGAGAAGGTGTGTGTGTGTGTGTTTGTGAAGGGAGGTGACACATATTCTTCTGCCTTTCTGGATTTACAATTACCCAAGGTTGAATGGTCCTCACAATGATTCCGGCCCATACGCCTGATGCTCATGATTTGTCTGACAGCGGGTTGCCTAAAGTATTGTGTACCGCTTGTCTCCATGTAGCCTACACATGGCACAACATTCCCGCCATTTGGGAAGCCCCGGTGGTTCTGTGTCCAAGATCTCCGTCACAGTATTTTCCCGTTGCCTTCCTTCCTTCCCTAATAGTCTTTTAGCAATTCAAATGGCATGTAATAGCCAAATCCTCTAAAAAAAAAAAAAAAAAGGAGTTGATAATTAACAGCCAGGACATCAGAGGGCTTTAAATCAAACGCTGTAACATCCCACCTGACACGCAGGCTTTGCACCAGGACCATGGAGAGAACAATTACCATTCGCTCTGCTCCATACTGTTTCAGGGCTTGTCTCTGATCACAGTGTTGCATCCGTCTTCTTGCCACGCTAGAATGGGGACAGTGAGGGGACAGATGGCAACAGATGGAGAGTCAGAAGTGCCCCTCCAGATATAAGGACTTGGCAACAAGAAACTTTTTGTTGAGGATCCGGGCACTGAGGGAGCTTAACCTATGAACCCTTCTGAGTGTGTATCTGCGCCCGCTCGTCTTTTTCCATCAGCGTCCCCCCCCCACCCCTCCACCCGTCTGCCAGTAGGCCACACATACACCATCCTCTGAGCTATAATGAGCCTGCATGAAATATGCAATAGCAACCATTATTTTTGTGTATCTCCGCACAGGACACCCCCTCCGACAATGAAAACACAAGGTGCGTCCCATCAGCGCGGAGGGCTGACGACTTTAAGCAGCAGTAAAGAGAATGAATGTCTGAGGAAGGCAAATCTGTCGCCGCCATCTGCCTCCCCCATGTGCACAAAACTAACTTTCATAAGCCTCAGCAAACACGCGGATACACATTTACAAACATTAGCGGCGACACATGTTCCCCTCGTCCAACCCACACCGACGTCAGAGCTCCAAACTTTGTCTAAATGGCTGATTGTAAGAGTTAATGACGGGTATTGTGCACGTCATCAGAGCGGTGGATAGATCACTGCAGAGTCACATGCAGGTACTGATGTGTGTTCTTTAAGGTAGGGGGCTCCAGACCTTGATGCCGAAGCAGCATGAAGAAACAGTTGGATAAGCACACGGAAAAAATGATATGGTCAGATGAGGAAAACAGTGTTTAAATAGGGGGGAAATGGTTAGTATTTGTGCTGCCTCTTACAGTACGAGAGGTGAATGCTGATTTAATCTGCTTTTTGCCTCTTCCTGTGTCTATGTGCTGTCTCTCTGCCCTCTCTCTCTCTCCCAATGTCTCTCTGTCCTCCATTCCTTGTCTGTCTTTTTGAAATGAATAATTTTTTTTGTGCACAGATTACAGTGGGAGAGCAACAGTTGCTATGGAGATAGAGTAAAGTCACGCATGTAAAGCAATTCTGTCGACGGGTAGACGGGAGCTTTGGCTTTACTGTGGCAGACTTTGCTGCAGTGAGGTTTTTGATTTTTGCAAATTGTTTGGAAAGCAAAGAAGAGCGCTGTGGCAACGCTGAACGCAAGATAGTGCATACACTATCACTGTAAACGTTCTGTCGCAGATGCATTAGAGGAGCATGAAAATTACATGCAAAGAAATAAGCAGCACACAATGCATTAGAGGATAAGGCTGCATTCTATATTTACCCCTTTTATCAGCAAATCCCAGAGGACAACCTGTGAGGATGAGAAATAAAACTGCAAAAAAGCTGCAGTTCCTGAAATGGCCACTAGAGACTGGTTCAAGAAGCAGGTCAGTCACCACAGACCTCTATTATAACATGTTCAACTTCACAGAAGAAACAAACATGTTTACAGCCTGGTAGATTGAACAGTTTTAGCCTCTCAAGCTAGTTTCCACTGCCCAGAAGGTGAATTTTTATTTTAGTTTACCCAAACCAATTGTATTGAGGGTTGAAATATTGCCTAACGAGGGCAGCAGTCAGTTTCAGTGACAGGTAGAAGCTCATTCATAGAGATTTTTGCATGGCCTACCTTTGTTCATTTTGGGATTAATTAGGAGTCAGGCAGCTTCATGCACTGCCAAAATAGCAACAGACAGAACAACCACCCTGAGCTTTAAAACCTACAGGTGACATCACATAGGGTTGGTTCTTCTTTATATACAGTCTGTGGTAAATCCCATGAAAACAACAAAACCAATCATGCTATAGTCATCATTATTTGTGTAGCGTTTACAACATATGCCACCTCACAGCGCTTAACATAGTAAGGTATAGACCTTACAAATTAGGAATTATTGACGTTTTGATCCAGTGTTAAGATTACAATTACTATGAGCAGTACTTTGGCCCTCTGCCATTTTATGAGTCAGTATGTATGGAAGGACGTATGGAGGGATGGCATGTCAATGTCGTCTCTTTGAGATTCAAGCCTCATCCAGTATGTCTAGCTGCAGTACCGTCGCCCAATATTTGGTGGACAACTGTTGTGAAGCCTTAAATTTAGATTTTGATCATTGTCATCTTGCTCATTTGAAACCAGGTGTGACGAGTGAGAGGTTGACCTCACTGAGAACTCGAATACAAGCAAACCCTGACTTATTGTCTATTTTACTCTAAATGCTAACATAATTTAAAAAACAAACATCATGCTGTATTAAAGAAGACTTGAAACCAGCAATCGAGACCATTAACTGATTAGGAAAATGTTTAGTGAGATAACAAATCAAGTGAGAAGTAGGCTCACTTTCTCACAGTTCTATACAATCTGGCTGCTTTTTGCAACCAGATGAGTCGCCCCCTGCTGGCTGTTACAAAGAATGCAGGTTTACGGCACTTCTGTGCTGGCTTCATTTCTCAGACCTGGAGGCTACGGCCATCATTAATATACAATCTACGGCCACTAATATTGGCCCAAAGAGGAAAAATATGTCGTTAGCTCTTCAGTAAATATCTTCAAATAGCAACATTAGCTTCACCACATAAAACCACAGCTTGGCATTTTCACACTTGGGTTATGAAGGAATTAACCAAACTAAATGTAACATGTTAATTAATGAGTAGCAAGAAATACTGAGTAGCATTTAAAAATAAAAAAAAGGCTAACTGTTTCCCTGTTTGCAGCATTTATGCTATGCTAAGCTTAAAAACATCTCCTGGCTCTTATATTTAGCATTGCTCAGACAGGACAGTGGTATCAGTCTTCTCATTTAACTCAATAAAAATGCAATCATGTACATTTCTTTATATGTAGACCTATTTGTTTAACTTTGAATCTGTGGAATGCACTTAGGGTGTCAGGCTCAGTTACAGGAAGCAACGTTAGCCTAATTGAAGTAACAACCTATGCACTAATGAGTAAAAAACACCAATGATGGTTTCATGTTTCATAGCAATGAATGTGGACACAGTGACTTATTTCAAGCCAGCATATAAAACCATCGTAATGCTAACTGTGTTTAATCCAAACAATTCTTTCAGTAGCCTAATGTTTCCTACAGTGATCAACTTTTTTAGAAATGTGCTCACTTTAAAGCAAAAAAAAAGGAAACTATGTCTATGTGTTTGAAGATTAACGTCATCAATAGCAGAGAATGAGTTTGGGAGTGTTTCCTGACAGGACGGGGAAGTCAGAACGTATCAAGAAACAATTTCATACCTGGTTGGTATTTCCAAGTTGTTTCTCGACAAGAAGAAACATACAAAGTAACGGCAGCCCTATCCTTTAAATTCCATTATTTTCTTCTGCTGCTTCCCACCCATACGAGTGCTTTATCTAAATATATGTCATCAGCCTGATCCTCGATAGTGTCCTTCAGCAGGCTGGAAACCACCACGAGCTATGCCTGAACGACGTTCTGCGTGCGTTTATGTTTCCCCCATTTCCATTTATATGGATCTAAATAGCATCTTTGCTGATTGTCACAGCGGCCCCTGCAGCACGTGTGATTAACATGGTAAAGTCAGGGGCTGATAGCCTGCGCTGATAGCCCCCCTCTGATGAGCCGCATGGCCACGTGTGCAGCAGCTGCCCCCTCGCTCCGCTCTCCCCCCTCCACTTAACTCAAATCGATGGGCCCTCCTCCAGCCGGGCCATTTATCTGAGCGAGCCGACAGAGCCAGTGAAACAGCCACGGAGGACCTGGCCCCACGGCCTCGTTACAGCGAGTCCGCAGAAGCCAGATTTACTGGACTAGCTGGAGTGGCTTTATTTCGCTGATGGAGAAATGAGGGGAAAAAAAAAAAAAAAAGGAAAGACGGGGACGAAGAGGGTGGAGGGGCCAATAAGAAAGCATCCTCTTTTTGCTCACTTTCCCACCCTCTCTGCCCCTCTATCTCCTCTTCTTTGCTCCTCTCAGCCAATTCAATCCCATTTCAATCTCCCAGTGAACATTCTGAGAATGCCTCGTCCTATTACATCACTTATGCTGTTCATCAAAGCGACAGGGTGTGAATTACCCTGTCCATGACACCTAAATCATGGCGCTACCGAACCCCGGGGCTACGTGGAATAGCTGTTACTACATCTGGATCCCTGGGATGAGACAGGGAGCCTCTCGGCAGGCTTGACTGAGTGAAAGCTTTTCTCCTTGTATTCTACTAGCTGCATCCAATAAGCTGCAAAGTTATGTTCCCTGCCCGCAAAAAAACCTAAGAATGCTGTTTACCGTGTTGTCCTGACATGTTTTGAGGTTGTCTTTTGAGTACTTTTCATTCAGCATTACATAATCAGGCTTTCATCTCAATCCATCTTCAAACACCATATGGGCCCAACATTTACATCCATCTTTGGTACAGAATCAGTGCTGATGCGTTGCTGTTGCAAAGATGAGAGAGTTTATTAGATTCTGACGTACCTTTGATCCTCCTGGACTCCTTTCTCTGGCTGGTTTTGACACCCGGCTGGAGCTCGGCCTCTGCTGACATCCTCCACCGCTGAGTCCCTTGTCCTGCTCACAGCAGATCCACCATGGGTTAGCAGCACACAAGCTAATCCTCCCAAGCTCCCAGTGTCTGAATCCCCCCACTCCGGTGTTTCTCACAGTCGCTCTCTGGTGAAGAAAATCTCCTTCAAATCCATGGCGAGATGTCTGGTACTCCTCAATAACTGAAGATCCAGCATTGATGACTACGCTTTTGTCACTGCTGGCCCATGGTGTTTGAGTAATGCTCAACAAAACATGGAAAGATGATTGAATTACGAGCTGGGTGATCCTCTCGAGAACAGCTTCAGATCAGATTTGACATCTTCTGGAGTGTGCATGAGTTCTCTCCGTGAAGGTCAAGTATCACATGGTCCGCCGTTGCTCTTTTCGGAGGGTTCACCTATTGCTCAGGAGTAATTCCCCCCGAGGGAGACTGCAACATTGATTGAATCAAATATTGTTCTTCAGAGTAGGTCAGGAGTGGATATTATTCTTTGGCAGAGTACTTCAGATGCAGTTCGACAGCCCATCACAGTCACTTGCTCCGAGCACTGCAAGGCAAGAAGACAGGGATGATGGTTAATGTTAAGCTGGAGGTGGTTAAAAATTAAAATGACACATGCCCCTTGATCACTCATTACAACATTAATTTAACATATGAATTGGCAGGCACCAATTTAGCAAATCAACAAAGATGTTATTATCTCTTCTGGATCATCAATCCTTAATGAGAGTGCAGCAAAACGCTTGCTGTTTGGCGGCCACCCTTGAAGAAAACCTGTGGTGAAATATCTGACGCTCTTGTTTTATGTGCTGCTTACGAGTAAATATGGAACATTAAAGCATGACCGGTGCTTCTGTGCATGCAAAGCAAATTTTCAGAAGATGGATTGTTAATGCTTCCAGCTCGGGCCAACAGCACGAGAGGAGGGGAAGTAGCAGAGAGCGATGAATGACAGGCTGTTTGAAAGCAAACTGTGGTGGGAATCCTGGCACAGCCATCTATAAACTGGAACCCCCACATTGTGCTTTAATGCCCTTGAATCATCCACTGCTAACACGGGGGCCATGCCAAGCTGGCACCGTGGCTGGCACCGCTTCTGTTGGCATGGTGATGTGCCATTGTTGGAGAAGGAGGCCTTCAGCCTACACTGGCCTGAAAAGAGCTGCTGCACATCGAGCACCGGGCACACATTGTCCCGCGTGACATTGTATGACATTGTGAGAACATGTGTGGAGACTGAATAAGAATAAGAGTGTCATTTTTTTTGAAGGATTTGGAAATTTTCCTTATTTTGATAGGATTATTTTCTTTTACAAGCTTACTGCCTTTATTAGCAGGACAGTGGAGAGAGACAGGAAAGGGGAAGCAAACGGCCGTGGACAGGAGTCGAACCCACAACCGCTGCATCTGGGATTAAAGCCCCCCGATATGGGTCGCCATCTTTAACTGGTTGAGCTACCGCGGTGCCCAAATTTGTCTCTTTTTTTTCCTAAACAGTGAATTCAGTCTGAGCTACACATGTTGGTGCAATTTCTTCTTCGACCAATAACAAAACCGACTAATTTGAGGCGCCTGAATAAAAGTAAAACATGACGTCTGAAAAATCCAAACAATTCGGAGCCCCGTCTCATTAAATTTCTGTCCCTGCACAACTGAACCGGAATCTCAATTATGTTTTCAGGGAAACGCATTTTCTCCCAAATTATGTTGGTAATGTATCACAAACACATTTTTAATCTGCACATTCCTGTCATTTGTGTTTACTGCTGTCCAACTGTTGCTTCTTTTCAGCCAACCAATCATGTCAAAATGGGCAGGACATGCCATTAAAAGAGGCTGCTTCAACCCAAAGCGTGGTATTTTCCTACATCTAACCCCCCAAAAAACAGAACTCAGCTGTAAGAATAACAGTCCCACACAGGACAGAAAGCCCAGTCTCCTGAGTGAAAGTCCTGCTGCAAACTTATGGCACCATCTTCCCAACATACATCCTGGGATTGTTTAAAACTAGAAACCCTTTCTACTAAATCTTCCTGCTACCTTTCTCTAGTATTTCTTTAAATGTAACTGAGATTACAGTTTTGAGATTACAACAGAAACCAGATTTCAGTGCTTTATGGATTCAGTGTCCCTGGTATTGTTCAGGTATTTTATTTTGAAGTATTTGTACTTTACTTGAGTATTTTAATGTTATACTACTTTCTACTTTGACTCCACTATGTTTCATTGGGAACTATTGTACTTTATACTCCTCTACTTTTACAGTTACTAGTTACAACAGATTAAGACATGATGTAATGAATGCTGAAAACGCAATAAATAGTTTTGGTGGAAAAGAAAAAAAAAAGCCACCTGACAAGATATAAAATGTGTAAAATCAACTCTGCATGTCACTGTATTGGTGGTAATAATAATCCAGTAGCATGTCATAAACACAGAACACTGACAGCCCGATTTGGTGTATAATCAAGACTTTTACTTTTATACTTTAAGTACCTTTTACTGATAATACTAACATACTTTTTTCTTGAGTAAGATTTGGAGTATTTTTAAATGGCGGTGTTGCTACTTGTACTTAAGTAAAACATCTGAATGCTTCTTTCAGCTCCCAGTATAATAGAAAAAAGTATCTATAGAAAAGTTTGCAGCATATTTTGTAGATTACACAGATTATCATAGCCTCTGCTTCTGACATATGCCTCATAAGTTTTTAAGATGTCATTTGTCGTCGTTCCTTCATCTGAAAACTGAATTTATCTGGTTTCATTTTCAAGGTGACCACGGTTCAGTCGCTTTGTGTTATCTTAGCAAACCCTTAAGTAAAAATGTGCACATTACTGTTGCATCATTCACCCAGAAGTGGTCTTTGTCTTCTGAAGTCCTTTAATGAACCCACAGATGTTCCCTGTCTGCCCAGAAAGCAGCTCCATGACAGTGATTTATCCATAAAATAGTTATATCTGCCTCATTCCCCCTGACGAGCCCACGAGTCCTTCAACTCTCCCGTTAATCCAAAATGAACTGTGAAGTTCAGAGACGTTTAATTTCTTTGAACAACAGCTGGCCAGTGTGGTCGTTTTTATCACCGCGGACGTCTCCACCGTGTGTCACAATTCATGTGTGCTCACGAGGGAGATAATGTCACCCGGGTCCGGGCGAAGGAGCGCCCACGAATACGTATCAGACGCAGCCTCGGAGTGTCAGCGGTGGGAGAGGTATTTTCCGTGTCACAAAGAATCTTATCACAATGTAATTTTCATTACCAACGAGGGAGATGTGCCTTATTGTATCAGAAGAGCGATTTAATGTGATGTACGGCTGCTTTTCAAAACCAGTGCTATCTAGGTCAGCCAGACTCCCCAGTCTGCTCCGTGTTTTAACAGCTCCCACTGTCTCTTAGGATTTGGGTCAGAGTTAACGAGCATCACTCATTTTTCGAGCTCCTCTCAGCTGTTAGCGGATGTCAAAAGCCCCCCGACAAAAGCCGCCATTTATTTATTAATTTGCTCATATTAGCGCCACCTCTCTCAAGTGCAAAGGAGAACTTCCTTGAGCAAAGTCGGCGTCGTTCCTGCCTGCACATCTTCATTCTCCTCCATATACGAGATGAAATATCCTGAATTTTTAACCATCTTACCGGTTTATTGAGCAAAAACAGGCATGTTGTAACATTAACCTGATGTATGGCGTCTCTCACTTCCTTCACATTAAGCACATCAATCATTCAGGCCATTGATTTTTCAAGAGAGAAATCTGAGTGTATACTTCACAACAGGACCCTCAGGGCAATGTACAGGTACATATATCTTGTTATACAGACTCGGTGCATTAGGATGAGATGCTTCCATAATTGTGTAATTAATGTAGCATACAAATGGGAATTTGCTTTGCGCCCTAATTTATTTGCAATTAAATGAAAACTTTACTTTATACCTTTGATTTATGCTGCGCAGAAACAAAAGGTTATAATTCCCGACAATTACATCGAGTCGAGTCCTCTAGTCGTCTCTTTGGATGAAAACGATTCATTAGCGCGATCCGTTTCCTCAATCATGTTTACTGTCTCACAGATATAATGGGCAATCACTGAGCACGAGCTGATTTTTAAATCAGATCATTCTTGAGATTCTTTTAAGCTCCAGCATTCCAGTAAGTAACGTTTCCTCCTGAGACTGGTGTTTAATAGACTGCACAATCAACCTCATATTGTGAGACAAGCCTCTGTGCATCCTGCCACTGATGAGTAACAAAGGTTGAAAAGTCATCTATCACTGGATATGGCCAATTACACCTCCATTCACTGCGGTCCCGACGGAAAGGCGCAGTCTGTGCTCTCCAGCTTGCATGTGACTGCCGAAGAGCGGGGAGGCCCCCGTCCCCCGGACCATCTCTGTCTCTTCCAGGCCAAGGCTGGCATGGCCCGGGGCTGGTGGAGCGTTTGTTCGACAGACCGGCTTTGGCACCTCGCGCTGGTCATCTTTGTTACGAAATGCCCCCCAGCTTATGGAGTGGGACACGACTGTCACAACCTGGCCCAGCGAGGCTCCTCTCTGAATAGCCCTGCTGTGTTACCTTGTGTCACCTACACAACGAAGGCGGACCAACCGCTGCTATATCCACACACGCCTAAAGCTTTTATTCTATACTTGTGTGAAATGTTGTATTCGGACATTTTCTTCCACATCAGCTCTTATCTCAGTCTCACAATCAACAATAAGGTCGCCTCATGCGGCCGTACAAGTGCCTGATAGCCCTTAAATCTATGATAAGGTTAATTTGCTTTTGTTGGACTAATTAGATTCCTGACTAGCAAGTGGTTGACTGGCAAATGGGTCTTTGGGGTAACGCTGCAATCTATTAACATTTCCGACCATGTGATTCGGCGGGTTAATCACGTTACACACTGTAATGGCTGTAAGACCACAGAGAAAATTAAAACAAAAATGCACGGACTAATTTACTGCCACGCAAGTGGTTCTGTGCGGCTGTACTCGGGG